GGGGCGCGCCGGACGGGGGGTGTCGTCGTTCGTAGGCTCAGCGGAGGCAGGGCATCCTTTGGACTCCTTGGAAGCTGCCGGCGTGGATCTCGAGCACAGTTGGGCAGCCCGGCTCATGGGCTGAGAGCGGTCATTTTTCATTGACAGGACATGACTAAAAATGGGGAGAAATGGTACCGAACTCGGTGCCCGTAGCTCCCCTCACCCATCTCAGCCGCGAGAGTCTCCAACGGTGACCTAAAGCCACCGCTGGCTCGGGTAATCGGCACTGTAGAACATGCGGGAGGGACGCTGCCAAGGCGTGCAGGCTGGTGCATAAATTAATGGCAAAACTGCTGTAACTTTGCAATTTAGGATTAACTATTTTTGTGAGTTGAGGCATTGTGTTATTAAGAGGCTGGGATTGCTTTTTACCTTTTCAAAAGTAATTTCAGTTTGGGTAGACTAGAACCTGGATAGGACTTGACAAACAGGACAGAAAGTCCTTAACTACCCGTGGGTACCGTGCCTGGTGCCTCTGGAGCCGGGTTCGGAGCGCGTGTCCTCAAGCGTCGGCAGGCTGTGGCTGGAAGGGGCGGCAGGGGATGCGACTTGCTTTGTTTCGCACTGAGTGACCCGCATGGAAATCCATGTCTTGAGGGTTGGAACGGGCTTGGTGAACAAAACTCGTGAGAGGTGGGGAAGCCCTGAGGGGTGCGTGGGAGGTGACAAGTCCTGGAGCTGCAGGGGAGGTCAGTGTCCTTGGGGCGAGGTGGGGGATCTGCAGGCAGAGACTGAGGTCCTTCGAGTCCTCAAGACCTTTCGATGCTGGGGTCATCCATACTTTTTTGATAGTTAGGAAATGAGTTGGGGGCACGCTGTAGCTTCGTCTCAGCTGCGGGACCAAAGAGAAGTCAGGCCCAGGTGAAGTAGCTGCCGACTTCGTCCATCGCAGCGCGCGGCATCTGCTCTGCTCACCGCTGGCATTGCGGGGCACGGTAGGATGCTGTGGGAAAGGGGACAGGGACGGTGATGAGTTGGATCTCGGAGGTGTTGGGTCTCCTGTCCGTATAACAGTTTCTCACTTAATTTTTCTGGCAAAAAGCAGCAAAGCCGAACGGTTGCCGTCTTGTGTCTGAGCAGTTTTTGCAAGGCTGGGTACTCCACCTTTGTGGCTGGGGGGCAGGCATCGTCATGAAGCGGCTTCTGCTGCGGCTGGATTTCTTCCTCTTCACAGGGTGGGGCGTGCACCTCTGCCCGAGCCACCACCCCTCGGAGCAGTGTTTTATTTCCCTGTTCTTCAGGGTTCAGCCATCCTAAGTGGAAAATGCAGCCCTTGCCTTGGGGTCCGGGGGCTCGTCCCCATCCTCATGCCCTGTGCTGAGGCTGGGCCAGGTCTTGCTGCCTTAAGACACGAAAAAGCGATGTTACAGCTGCTCCCGAGCTCCCAGATCGTGTGTCTGGCCGAGCGGTATGGGCTGTTGGCTTGCGCCATCGCCGAGGTGTGACCCGGTCGGGCTCGAGCCCTGCCGGCCGTCGCGCCTGGGTGCAGAGCTGCGTGGCAGGAGCTCTCGGTGCCGAGCTGGCTGCGGGGATCCCCTTGGGGGAAGCTCAGCTTCCCTCCTGGGCTCAGCCCTGCAGTTCAGTGCGAGACCCTGGCCGTGCCCCCCGCCCCGAGGGCAGCTGGGACCCGTTTGTAAAGCGTGGCATCGACTGAGCATCCGCCCGACCTGTGTCCACACCGAGCCGCTTCACTGTCCCCTCTCTTAACGACGTGTTGGCTTCGTGGTCATTCCTCCAAACTTCCAGCTGTGATTTCAGCCGCCCAGCAGGCAGCTCTGCGTCTGTTAAGACCTTTCTCACTCCTGTTAGGCTTTCCTGCTTTCCCGTGCCCTCAAAATCAATTCTCAATTATCTTACGGCTGCATCTGAAGTCTTTCAGGGGATAGGGGAGTTTAGGCTTGTGGAGATGAGGGAGCTCCTCAAGCCACGTGGAAGCTCTTCTCTTCTAGCCTGTCCTCTGGTCTCCAGGATCCACTTTTAGGGAGGCACCCAGGTTTGCAGGTGGGCAGAGGGAGGCAGCCGGACCGGGAACGAATGCCATGCTCCACTGCTGGCCCCGTGCCTTGGGTCTGTTGATTTTGGGTGGAGGAGCAGAACTTTGTTTCCTGCTTGTCAGAATTAGATTGAAGGGTGTTTCCTCACCTTACCCCTCAAATCGTGCCTCTCCCACTCCGACAGGGGTGATGGATGCGCTTTGGATTGCCTAGAAGCTTCTCCCTTGGGGCTAAATGGTCTGAAGTTGTGCCAGGGCAGGGTGAGGTTGGCCATGGGGAACAATTCCTTCCCCTTGGGGCTGTCAGGGGCTGGAAGGGGCAGGGAAGGGGTCGAGTCCCCAGCCCTGGGGGGATTTAACAGCCGGGCAGAGGCGGTGCGGAGGGCCAGGGTTTGGGGGTGGGATGGCAGTGGTAGGGGGTCGGTTGGGCGGGGGGAGCTTCAAGGGCTTTTCCAACGTAGATGATTCTATGATTCTAAAACAGGTCATTCTGCTGGTCTGGAGTCTGCGAAGGGAGGAGGCTGTTCCTGCTGGGGTTATCGGGATCCAGCGTGCCGGTCGGGCACAGGCCGTGCCTTTTGATTTCCCCAAGCGGAGAGCAGTCACCGCCTACAGGATTGCTGGCCTGTGCCTGGGGTAAAGCCGAGGAGAGCTGCACGCCCTGCTGGTCTCGAGGAGCCGGCCCAGAAATGCTGGTCCCTGCTTCTGGCACAGCTGAGGGGCATCGGCGCCTCTGACCCAGCAGCGGGATCGGGCTGGGACCAGCTCCGGGGAACGGCGCTCGGCGTGGTGCCGCTGTCCTTCCCGCTCAGCTCCGGTGACCTCCGGAGGCTTCCTGGATAATCTCTTGTGTGCGGAGGATGAGGGCGTTTGTGTAACGCTGGGTGGGTTTGGGAGGGCCCGGGACGAGCCCCATGGGTGTTGGTGGTGTCTGTAGGTAGCCGGTGGCAGGAGCTGCCGGGGACACGTTAATCCCGGTAATCTCCCTCGCCGGGCTCGGTGCTGGCCGGCACACCGCGGTGCTCGCATTCGTTGGCTGCTGCGACCGTC